TAGCTCGCCGTTTACAAATCACCCCATCAGCCAACACCACGAAGCAACCAACGCCAGACCCACACCGCGCAGCCAAGACACAGCCAGCAGGACAACCCCAGCTAAACTTAGCTACAATTAGCTAGCTGTATGGGAGCATAAATGCCACATCCTTTGGATTTTCACTGAAAAGTTGATTAATACATTAAATGCTTCAGAATCTTACATATGACACCTTCACATTTTCATGTTGCAATACATTTCTTGACAGGGAGGAGTCAGACTGTCTCATCAACAATATACTACTGGGACACTAACAGTAGTCCTGTGTGTGTGATTGTTTTCGTGGTTCCAGGACAGAGTGTCGGAGCTGCCCGTCGGCCCGCAGCCTCCCTTCTTTGAGAAGAACCTCTTCAATCTGCTGTCTGCGGCGACTGTTGACAGAAAGCCAGAGAACAGCAGCTTTGGAGAAGTCCTGCGGCAGGTTTATCCTGTCTATAGACAGGTAGGACACACATTCACAATCAAATATATTCCTCTGCTCACACTGTCTGTCTGGCTCAGTACTCGGCCCAGTTTATTTCAGTCTGAAGATGCTGCTGTTTTTATATTTATTTCAATATGTTTTTCAGGGTGATGTTGTCTCTGTCACGTTCGTAGCAGGAAACCCCAGACATTCTGGAGACATCGTAAGACCAAAAGCTGTATTTGTTTCATTGTTTGAGTTGCATTTTTGTTTTTGTTACTTTCTCAATCCCCTCTAACCTCTTCTATTTTGTCGTTTGTTGCAGAGAGATAAAACTTTTGTAACTGTGGAGATTTATGACAACAGAACAGACTCCTGGGAGGTCGTCTACAATGATGCATCATGGGAGACCAGGCAAGTTAAGCTCAATCTAAATGTCCGGACTTTTGATGCTCTTGACCCGACTTTGCAAGTGCGTTCTCAGGACGTCTGCGACTGCTGAGGGTTTGTCCAAACCCACAATTCATCCAGTCCACCAAAGACCTCAAGCAGAGTTTATGATAAATAATGCTTTTGGCTGCAGGTTTCACTGGCTGAAGGGTTCGAACCGGCAGAGTAACTCCACAGTCGAGTGGCACATTCCTCCATCAGCCCCAAGCGGCTCCTACAGGATCAGACACTTCGGACACTACAAGGAGATGAAAGGTCTGCGACCCGTCATTACCCCGTACGAAGGCACATCCGACGTCTTTAGAGTTGCCGCCAGCTTCTACTATCAGTGAAATCACCAAGATCATCACCATAAAGAATTGACTTTATGTGACAACTCAGGTGTTTCCTGAAACTGTTTTACAAACTAACCGCATCATCCTACTCTAATAAAACAACTGTCATCCTTCATGTGTCACCATTCTTGAATTCACAAATTCATTTTTATCTGATTTTGATTTCTTGGGTTATTTAAAAATAGTTCAGACACCATTAAAGCAAGAAAACCAAGAGAACAATAGGTTGGACCTAAATGCAGACAAAGAGGCAGTGCAGGTGCAGTTCAGATGAGGATCTCTAACATCAAAATCTTACTGATAGTCAAGCAGACACAGGTCAAATGGTCAAACCTGGAAATATCTGGAACACTTCATAAAGGGTCAGAAAACACGCGAAACTAATTAGAGCGGGGCAGACAATCACAAACTAGCTGACATTAGCTTACATTAGTGCAATCCTTGTGCTCGCCAAGCTTCCAGGAAGAGCACGGTCATGTGATGCACACTGGCCCAAAGAACTATTTTCCCATAAGCTTACATTGTGAAAGAAACGGCTGTAAAACATGCAGACATCAACACCCCCGCAAAATTACTTTTTTCACAATCAGAATCAGATCCATTCAGTTTGATAATATTTGTAAAGTATAGAAGAGCCACATGATCAAATAATTTCAGTTAGCTAAATAGGAAGTTTAGTACTTTAGCATATGCAGAAGATGCGGGTAATTTGTTAAACATTTTGGTTCCAAAAGTTTGCTTTTTTAGGCCCAAAGATTGGCCAAACAACAACTTCAATACCTTTGAATATTATATATATTACATTTCTGACAATAGATTATCCTCAGTATATAATAAAAATTACAAAATGGTGTTAATAGCAAAAATATTTATTTGTCTGTATAGAAATCTGTCAAGCAAACCAGAACGTCACAACAACAGGGACATTTTTTAACCATCACAGCATGAATCCATGAATCAACACTGATGTGCACTGAAAGTGATTGAACCACTGTGGGACTTACAGAAATGTTTGTTTCTCAGTGAGACACAGCAACACATTTTACTGCAGCACACTACTACAACTTTTCAGCTTTCTCACATTGTCTCTGGTTGCCGTTACTCAACCCGTCTATATTCTGGTTAACAAAGTCACAGGAAGGTGGTCGGGTTGGAGGGTGTTAAGCTGAATTTATAGTAATATAGTAATATAGTATATATAGTAATAATGAGTTAATTTGAGTCCCCCCGTAGGTTTTGGTTTTAGGCAGTTGAGGGTTTTACCTATTGATATCAATGGTTAAAATTTGACCAAATGTAGTTTCCTGTTTGTTTCACTAATCATAGCAGTTGCCTGAACCAAACACTGAGCCGTACGTCACCAAACAGCGTGAGATTTTATTCTCACTGGAAAAAGTTGCCTTTGATTTTAATGAATTATATAAAAACAAAAATTGTAACTATTTTTGCAATTTCATAGCAAAAAAACCCCACTAAACATTGCAACATGCATGGCAATAATTTTTTTTTTAATTTGCAGTAAACTCAGGCATTTCAGGACACAACAATCTGAAAAAAGCCCCCTGAACTCCAGGCAGGACTGATAGTTCCTCTACCACTGACAGTTCTGTCGACGCAGTAGCCCTGATGTCCAATACGATGTAACCTCAGAGACTACGTATGAACATATAGCCACCATATGTACGATGTAAACCCTTAACACAGATGTGTAAGTTCTCCTACGTGTTCACTTCCACCAGCACTGACTGGTAAAAACAGACCACATTGCATAATATTAGACTTTGGATAAAAATAAATTCCCTTTTTCAGCAGTAAGTGCTAACATATGAATACAGGTGCATCCATGTCTGTTTCAATAATATCTTTACATACAGTATCATAAGCTTGTACCTTGCATCTTTTTCCCAAACAGCCTACACACACATTTCAGTGGAGATCTGAAGCTCCTTACAAATCTTACATGTTGTTTTAAACGAAGCCATTTATAAAGTCTTGACCCCAGTGACACATTAAAGTGCTTTCAGTTTGAGTCCCATATACAAACAAAACGCTTTGGTCCATTAAATCAAACAAGATGGAAGGAATACGTGTTTCACCTCCAGAAACCTCCTTATCTTTGCAGACTGGAATGAATAAAGTTGTATAAAATAATTCTGACATGACGATGCAGGTAAATAAATCCACTGTGTGATGCTGGTGTGCACTGAAGAAACATCTGATGTCTTCTTAAACTTTATAAAACTCTGCTGCAGTATTTACAGTTTTTACAAATGTTCAGTTTGGAGAGGAAGTTGCTGGAAGTCTGTTATTGTTACGTTATAAACGTATACATTTAAAAGCATGTTAAATCTGTGATGCTAACATGCTAACATTAGGCACAGCTATGTATGTGGAATGGTAGAATCAGAGCCCGTCTACGGAGAGCCTGGCCACTCCCTATTAAGTCCCATTGTACCGAATTTTGGTTGCAGTTCCAC